GTACTTACGCCATTAGGGCTCCTCCATGTCCACTTGCGGTTTTCTCGTTTTCGGTAGAAGGTATTCAAAATACGCAGATTATTGCGTTCTGCGAATTCTACTAGTAGCTCTCCTCTGGCGTTTCTAGTGCCGATGCCATAATCTCCTACTGCCTGGTCTCCAGCCTGCTTCTTCCCTACCTTTGCATTAAAGTCGCCCATTACTATAGTATACTGTGTTTTCACCTTACTCATTGCCGATTCCACGTCTTCATAGAAGCTTTCAACTGAAGCGTCATCATGGCTGGATGTAGGCGCGTAAGCCTGTACTACCTTCATTTTGTATCTTTTATTCAGTTTAATTACAATGCCCACCACCCTTTCATTAATGCTATAGTAATCCTCTATGTTGCCAGCTATGTTTCTGTGAATTAGGAACCCTACTCCCAGTTCTCTTCTGTCTGCCAAGCCCCGATAGCAAATGACGTGCCTATTCTGTAGCACAGTATAGGCCTCATCTGTCCTCCTAACCTCACTCAGCCCTATTATATCCCATTAATTGCCTTCTATCTCCTCGAATAATACAGCTAGACTTCCCTCACTAGATAACTTTCTAACGTTAAACGTTGCTAAGTTCAAGTTCCAATGGTGGCCTGTCCGTATCCAGAGATTCCTAGCACCCTCTGCTGCTCTGCAGATCTGACCGCCGCCGTGGTCAGTTGCTCCGCAGCTGGTGGGGACTGAGGGCCGTGAGTTAATTGACGAATGCCTACGGGAGGGGGTGGCCAGATACTGCACCAGGGTGGCCAATCTTTCTCTGGTGAGATCATCGGTGCGTACCGGCTTTAAGCCGGTACGATCAGACAGTAGTGGGAATGCTCCATGCATGTCTTCCTTATTGTTGTTCAGCAGCGTTGGCGACCACCCACCACGGAGCCCAACGAGGGGACGCTACAAGTTTGCAAATTCTGAAACCTGCAGACGCCAGCCGTACAACGCCACTATAACCCAATGCGCCTAGACCAAGGTAGGCTATTTGCACAGGGTTAACCCTAGCCGCCAGGAAGTTTGGAAGTAAACGGAAGGGAGTAGAAGACAGGACAGATAAATAGTAAGAGATAAAGACGAAGATGTAGGGAGAGAGAGATAGGAAAAGGCGACTGCCGATTCCCCTGGGTGGGTCAGCTCAGGGGTGCCGTCTACGTGAAGCCGGGGCCAAAGGGGTGTGTTGCCTCTGCCGGGGGGCCTTAACGGTCCAATCACCCAGCGTCGGCTCAACCCCCAGGATCCCCTTTTCCTCGGACACGGCAAAGCTACGCACAGCTAGGCGTGGGAGGGATTCGAAACTCCCCCGTTAGCTCGGGTTCGTGGTGTCGCTACACACCAAACGCCTACTTGCGCAGGCACCCCTGCGGTATTTCAGCCTATAATACGGCTGCTCAACGCACTACCGGCTTTTCTCCATTTTTTCTCATCCATGGTCGCTCGCCGAGTTTCGCTCTGGATGTCTCTTTCCTTTCGGCCCCTGCACCCTCGATGGCTCCTTTCTCTGAAGAATTCCCATCTCGTCTTGCACACTGCCGCCACCAGGCCCGTGTTAACACCGGCCTCTCTCAAGACACTCGAAAATCTCGCTACGTCTCGTGTCGCAGTGTTGCGAGTTTTTCCCCTGGTGACGAAGTTTTCCTATGGACTCCACTACGCGTCCCCGACCTATGCGACAAATTCATCAGTCGCTTCATTGGGCCATACACGGTGGTCGAACAGAAATCTCCTGTCAATTACCGCGTTTCTCCTCTTAGCGCCAGTCCTGATCATCGTTGCCGAGGAACAGAGATAGTGCACGTATCTCGTTTAAAGCCTTATGCGCGATGCATTTCATAATACTGTCAAGCGACTAGGCAGCCGCTTTCACCGCGCGGGGGAAGTAGTGCGAGCGCGACAAGCGAATGACTCTTTATTCTCTTTGTAATCATCATCACCTGTACATCTTCTTCATCTAAAAATATCATCACCAGCGTGATTTAGCTCGAGCCTGGCCGAATAAACCGGTTCCTCACAATATTACTAAGTATTACGAAATTGGAATGTGACGATTGTTCAGCTGTGAAGGGACTAACTTTCACTTAGAAACAGGCCGTATTTCAGCTTGTTCGAGCTGCAATAAAGCCTGCAGCTGACAATATGCAGCTCGAATCAGGCTTATTGTCTGCTTTGTTGCTTGGAGGTGTGCTCCATGTCGGCGAGTTACAAATCTGCTCATTGGTACCACTGTAACTCGTATTACTAACTTATATTACCAAGTATTACAAAATTGGAATGTGACGATTGTTCAGCTGTGAAGGGACTAACTTTCAGTTAGAAACAGGCCGTATTTCAGCTGGTTCAAGCTGCAATAAAGCCTGCAGCTGACAATATGCAGCTCGAAGCAGGCTTATTGCCTGCTTTGTTGCTTGGAGGTGTGCGTCATGTCGGCGAGTTACAAGTTGGCTGACAGCCTGCAACACTGCGCTGGAACCACCAGCTACTGGTTCCATCAGCCGCCGGTTCCATCAGCTGCTGGTTTCAACATTTGCTGGAACCACCAGCTACTGGTTCCATCAGCTGCTGGTTTCAACACCCGCTGCAACCACCAGCTACTGGTTCCATCACCTGCTGGTTCCATTACCTCCTGGGAATGTGCGAATAGACCAGCACTGCTGGCAGCAATAGCCAATCAGCAGGAAAGTTTCACCTGGGTCCTGATGGTATGTGAAGCTCTGCAGGTGGTAACTGTCCAGAAGCTTCCGCCAACCTTTACAGCAGAAATAATTGCATCACCGCACGAGATGCTTGCTGCGATTTCTAACCAAAATACAGCTGCTTGCACTAGTTCTGAAAAAGCTTGACAAGTTTTTAGAGCACGAAATTTGATGACATCAGAGCGAAAGCTCATTTACTGTAAATGTCACCAAATGTTCATTGACTGTTTTTCCTTTGAATTATTCATCAAGTGTTCCTCTTCAGTATCGCCGAGAGGTGATTCCACAAAATGACTGTGTTAAATATTTAGGGGTGTTTTATGATGAAAAACTAATTTGGCGAATCGATATTGAACATATTAAATCTAAGGCAACTCGTGCTATTGGAACAATTTGTAAACTAGGTCGACACCCCACAGGCCTATGCAAGGACATTGTAATTATGATTTACCGTGTGTATGTTCGCGCGATTCTCGAATTTGCTTGTGTTTTATATTCGGTGGAGAAGGGGGTGCAGCATATAAAATTAGTCCTCTCGCTATGTTAAAAAGGGACACCCTCGAAGGTGTCTTGGGGTTCCGAAATTTACTGCGAACAGTGTTATATCAAGAACCCCGAATGCCCAACCTATTTTGTAGATTTCGCATGCGTATCTTAAAGCATATTTAAACATTTACGCTTCCTCACTTGTAAGTTTGAATTTCGTGTTTGTACTGTACGTTTGAATTTCGTGTTGTACGTGTTTTGTACTGACGTGTTCATGCCTGCCCATAAAAGCGGCCACATTCTCAAATTTATGTTATTCCTGACGAAGGCCGTGCCACGGCCGAAACGTAGAGTAAACAATTATCAAATTTTCGCAAGTGTGCTCCTTTACTCTTAAATATATATATATATATATATATATATATATATATATATATATATATATATATATATTTATATATATATATATATATATATATATATATATATATATATATATATATATAACAGACAGTAATGCCAAGGAATGTACAGGGGAAGTTATTAAAGCCAATGGAATGTAAATAAGAAGAAAGAAAAGTGGTAAACAGTTGGTAATTTTTTCATCCACTTTTCTTTCTTCTTATTTACATTCTATTGGCTTTAATAACTTCCCCTGTACATTCCTTGGCATTACTGTCTGTTATATCTCATTATTATTGTGTTAAAAACACGGAAAAACGAGCCCTTGGGTATACACTTCTTTCCCTTATTACATATATATATATATATATATATATATATATATATATATATATATATATATATATATATATATATATATATATATATAATAATAATATATAATATATATATAATAATAATAATAATAATAATATATAATATAATATATATAATAATATATAATAATAATATATATATAATAATATATATAATATATAATATATATATATATATATATATTTCATGAATATATATATATATATATATTCATGAAATGGCCGACGCTCTCGTCTCCGGTGGTCCCTATATGCTCCTGCAATGTCCATTGTACCCGATACCAGTTTTGTCACTGAATCGCTATTTCGCTAAAATTTGTCGTTTGATTGGAATAATAAATGGTGCTCCTCTCGAAAATTTGATGAGTGCATCATAAAATCTCGGTGCTGGATTCCCCCTCCTAATTTTTATTTATACAAATCTCGATAAGTATCAGTCCTCTACTTTTATTGTCAAAAGCCAGAAAAGATTGATCACTTTTTAATTTTTTGCCGATGTTTCACAAGCAATACGAAGAAAAGTTTACAAACTATATTCCGACATAAACATTACTCTTAATTGTTAAAATATTTTTTTCCTTGGGGCTTCTTGTCTGGGCCATGACAACAGCAGCGTCCGCATAGCTGTTAGTGAAATTCTCAGCGACAAAGGAATGTTCACTTGTTAGATTTTTTTGTTTACAAATGAAATTCTAGTTCATTGCAATTACCATTTATTTGTTCAATTCAATAATAGTTATGTACCTACTTTGTTCGTGGGTATTCTTCAAATTGAGCAGTCCTATATTCCCTAGATGACGGAATAGTTAATTTTTTCGTCAAAATTTGTAATTCCTCTTCTCATGGCCCATCCCCCCTGTAGTGGGCGCGAGCTAAAGCATATATAACAGCAAGCAAGCAAGTAACCAAGCAAGCAACCAAGAATTGTGATACGTTTTTGCGAACGCGTAAAGCTTCAACGAAAATGATAACAGCTGCACTGTAAAACTCAGTTTTTTACGTGACACGTGTAATCTTCAGGGCCTTGGTATGGCGATGTCAGCGTCTAAGATTGGCTTGTCCACCAACATGACTGTGCGGTTCGCTGGCGCTTCTTCGGTCTCGAAGAGAAGCAGGTGGTTCTCTTCAGGGTGAGGCCTCAGGTACACACCCGGAATGTACAGCGTCACCTGCGCATGAGAGAGAGTTAGGTGAATACAATGGTGTGACTCTAGGAGGAAGAAGCCGAGACACGTTGGCAAATTGACTCGAAGCAGGTTGGACGTCGGGAGAGGAGTCGCGTTAAAACGAGGAATAAAGGGTCGCTCAACAGCAAAGAAACAACCAGTCGTCACATAATATGAATCGTGCAACGTGTGGGTCGCCGAAGGCTGCAACCCTTTACAAAAGCTTGATCTTGTTCTTCTATTAACTGTGGCGCATAACCACTGTGGGGTGGAGTGCGGATATTACAAACGCTTCTGGCATAAGTCTTCGTCGTCAGCCACAGCAGATGAAAATTCCACGACGTTCCTTGCAGGTTTGTAGCAGGTACCACGCTTCTCCGAAGAATGACATAGCGAATGCCTGCCTACAAGACAATGATTATTGGCGTAGTGGGTACCTTGCAAGTGTGCTTGCCGCAGCTACCCAAAGAATGTTAAAAAAGGGGTCGTGAAGGACGCTCTTTCCGCTTTCGCTGTGACAATGCTGCGCGTACAGCGCAGGGCTAGTGGTTTTTTTGCTATTTATTTTTTTAGTTTGAGATGGTCGTTTTTGTTTGACATTGGCACCTGCGGTACACAATGTTAATCTTGCCCAATCCCTGTGGTGCGTCTTCGAGTATTAAGAACTTTATAGATCTGAAGCTGTGATGACGATGATGTGTGATTTAATGTCACCAAACCACCATATGATTATGAGCGACGCCGTAGTGGAGGGCTCCGGAAATTTCGACCACCTGGGGTTCTTTAACGTGCACCCAAATCTGAGCACACGGGCCTACAACATTTCCGCCTCCATCGGAAATGCAGCCGCTGCAGCCGGTATTCGATCCCGCGACCTGCCGGTCAGCAGCCGAGTACCTTAGCCACTAGACCACCACGGCGGGGCAGTTCTAAAGCTGTTCCTCATGGCATATAGTGCTATTGAGATGTCCTTTAATATATTTAATGAGGAAACGCAATCGCGCAATTTTATTCCCATCCGAGGTGCGTTTTAGTCCGCCACCAAACACCAGACACGCTGTAATGGCAATCTAACACTGAATTGTCTGCAGTTGCCATCTTTCCATCCGTTTGCCGTTCATCTAGTGATGGCAATTAGAAAGAAATCTAGCCTCTTTGTTTTGAACTATTTCTAATTTTGAAGGAAAAACCAATAGATGCCTTATCGAAGGAGAAAAAGTTATTCCTGGCGTCAGCTGCATCAACACGAGCGATGTTAGAAATCGTCAATATGTGATAACGTCAACCTATGACGTCAGGACGTCCCATATATTCAGGCTGCACGACATTGTAAGCGTGCCATCACCGAATAAGGTACAAAGAAGCCCGATCCCCGAGGCCGGATAAAACCATCTCCTTGGATTACATTCGTGCAGCCAAATGCATGATGGACTTTATTGAGGCCTTAGTGCCTCATAAAACGCTAAAATTGACAGTTGGTGTGTCGTATCGGCAGCATCAACATTATTGACTGAAGAAAAATCACGATCACCAGATGACTTCACCACATGCCGTCGTTATGCCACAGATCGTCACGATTTCGACGTGATCATGACGTCACATGATGTCACGTCACATAATGGTGTAACATGAGTAAAGACGAGGGACGTGACATGACGTCGTGAAGGCGGCTGACGTGGCCGTGCCAGTCTCGCCGCTTTGTTCTCTTCGGGTCGAAGCTCAGCGGCGGCTGCAGCTTGCGTCCAACATGGAAGTTGCGTGTTGGACGTAGTCGTGTGTTGGACCCGGTGTGTTCTAGCACGCGCCTCCAGCTCCGAGCACAAGCAACGCGAGAGGCGCAGAGTGGTGAATAATGAATGAGTCGTTATACACTGTAAGCAAAAACTATCCGAGTTTGGGGTTTTTCCGGCTCATGACCTCTGAAAACTCCCTCGCGTTTAAAATTACTACCTCGCGTAGGAGTAAAAGGTGGTACATGACATAGTTTTACCACCACCTCTCAGGCAAGTAGTAAAAGGATGTCAAAATCCAGTTTTACCACTTAGGGAGTTTTCTATCACGTGATTTTTAACCTGCGTTTCAGAGTTTATTACCACGTGACTGCAAGGTGCAGCTGCTTCGGCGGCTTTTGCCCCATACCCCCCCCCCCCTTGTGACGCTCTCAGTGAATACTGAAGGTACGCGAAGCCCACAGATGTTTTTTTTTGTTTTTGTTTTTGCATCGCCGTGCCTCTGGACTGACTTCGAGTCAGCGCACTTTTACTGGAACTGGGGGCAGCATAAGCACAACAAGCGAGAACAGCATTCTTTGAAAGAAAAAAAAAGAAAAATACGGAGGGGGGGGGGGCTCTCAAAAGAGAAAAAAAAGAAAGGAAACCTGCTGTGGAAAGTTGTCCTGCATATTTTCGCAAATTGTTGCTTTTGCTCGGCGGTGGCTTTGGAGACAGACAGTGCAAGAAGCTCGGTATCTGTGTGTCTGGTTGGGCTGATGGATCTCACGTGTTTCCTACATCATCGAGCGACCGTGCTCTTCCGAGCGCCTCCGAACCTGCACGTCGCGGATATATCCAGTTCGCGGATATCTCCAGATCTGCCAGTGGTAACAAAATCAATCTGGTGTCGTCGTCCGTGCTTGCCTGCTGGAGAAGCAATAAGCAAAATGCTTCACTCTGTCGTCGGCACCGAGCCGCGGCCACCAGTGACCAGTGGGAGTGTGTCGCCGGGGCAGGTGAAAGAAGCATCGCATATATTTTGTTCCACAGTAGGCGATGTCTGCACGAGTAAAGTGCTGCCCGAATTGCCCACCTCATGCACCAACTGTTCTCAAACATGTAGCACGAAGCCGATAAGAGGCAGACGGAACCAACAAGCGGCGGCCGGTGAGCACGAAGAAAACCCGGACCTGCCCGGATGGTGGTCTTTCGTTGGAAGTCTGCATACACCGCCCCGACTCCGCAAGATAGCGGTTACGTGTTCATTTGTGTCAGAAATGACGACGAAATTCGCACAGGATATGTGTTCTGTGATCACCAGCTGTGTTTCATCGGATAGCCGTGCTCCTCGAAAAGGCCTAGAACGCCGTCGGTAAGAAGCTCGTGTGCAGGCGTGCACCGCTCCTCTACGCCCGTTGTGATGAATACGTGCTGCTACTGTGTTTGTGCACCGTCGCTCAATTAAAATCATTGAGCTACCATGGTTTGTGTGTACTTAGGTATATTTTATGGACTTGTGCTCAGCAGTGCTAACATGCGTGGGGCAAATAGCCCGGTGTGCCAAGCAATTATTGGATAATCAAAAAGGTGAGATCGTGTAGATTTATAATAAAAGGTCGGTGTAACATTTAGTGCCCTGCAGCCCACTTGAAGCTTACGCTTGCACCTTCAAGCGTTGCTGTTAATCGATGGAAAAAAAGAGCTCTCCTACCGGTACTACTTGGCCGGTCAAAAAGTCGTGCCTATATATATACCGGATTGTCGAAGTGTAGTAGAGCAACGCGTGCAGTCTGTTCTAGTGGTGTATTCTTCTGCATTTGTTGTGTGTGCGTGTTTGTCTGTATGGGAATCTATGTGTCACCAATTCTGCCGTTCAATAAATTCAATCAGTTCTGCTATTCAATAAATTTGTCGTCTCTGGCCGAATGCACCCGTCAATTTTTATTTTTTTACCACCAGAAATAACTCCCAGTAATCACCTCAAAAACCTTGTGAAGGTAGTAAAAATTTACTCTCTCTATAATCGCTGAAAACCTCACTGGGGTAAATATTTACTACTCTCCCTACGTTCAAAAACTCAGTTAGCACGAGAGTAAATTTTTACCTCGGTAGTAGGTGGTAAAAAAAACCCAGGAAAGGTAGTGCGCTAGAGGACAAATGGTTTACCCAGTTTTTGAGGTTATTTCAGGTCATTTTTGTTTAGTGTGTAATGATGATAATGAAGATGCTACAATGTCATCACATCACATAGTCACTTGCTCAAAGGTCTCTACTTAATGATGGGAGCCCTACATTTCTGCGAGGATCAACGTACAGCAGCTGTTTGGACTTGACGTTCGTGTCACGTCGCTTCGCCACAAGCGTTAAGTGGTTTTTAGACATCGAGACACATGGAAGCGATCACATCCCCAGTTATCTCACCATCGAAGGCTTTGCTAGCGACCACCCGCCGAAAACCGTACGGAAGATCGATCTTTCAGCATTCAAAACCAACATTGAACACGCTTGTGAAAAAGGCTTAACCTCTGACATTGAGCAAGCGATCAAACAAGCAGCGCAGAGTGCGATGCGCACGCTGGCATATTCTTCAAAGCCCTCAGAAACGGACATGGAGTTAGAGCGACTCCGTGCGACTCGTCGGCGTGCGGAGCGTAGATATCGACGCACAAAATCCATTCAAGATCTACGGATGGCCAGGCGCATGCAAAAGAAGATCCAGCGTCGTATAGACAAACTGGAGTTTCAACGGTGGGCGAAATTTTGCGCGAGTCTAGACCCTCGCAAACCGCTTTCTCAAATATGGCGAACCGTGCGAGGCCTACGCACATTTCCCCAACAACGTTTTCCGTTTAAAGCCTTGGCCCTTTTCCAAAATAGAAGGGATATCGAGGTAGCGGAAGATTTTTGTAGGAAGATTGCGGGCCCACCAAATTGCACAGAAGCCCTTACTGCTCATTACACGCCACATTCACTTGACCCGCACCTGGACCTGCCTTTTTCAATGGAAGAACTGAATGTGGCTCTTGCTTCATGCAATCGATTGTCATCGCCTGGGCCGGATGGCATATCATACCGCCTATTATGCAATCTCGGTGATCGAGCACGAAGTGCTTTGCTGGAAGTATTCAATGAGTCTTGGAGAGATGGAACGGTCCCCAGAGAGTGGAAAACAAGCCGGTTGGTTGCACTTCTCAAACCTGGAAAATCGCCTCTAGAGCTGACATCATACCGCCCAATAGCGCTGGCTAGTTGCGTAGGGAAGCTGATGGAGCGAATGATCCTTGCCAGACTCGAGTGGTTCCTAGAACGCCATAGAATATATCCAGACGCCATGGCCGGTTTTCGTCGTCTTCGGAGCTCCATTGACAATGTCATTGACCTGGTGACCTACGTACAACACCAGAAAATGAGCAGACGGTTATCTGTCGCACTATTTTTAGATGTCAAAGGAGCATATGACAATGTTTCTCACGAAGCCATACTTGACGCCCTCGAGTCAGTTGGTTTGGGTGGGCGAGTGTACCGCTGGATCCAATGCTACCTACATATGAGATCATTGTTTATGCAAACTGATGATGGGCCGACTTCTGAACATTATACACACCGTGGTGTTCCTCAAGGTGGTGTATTGAGCCCCACACTGTTCAACCTGGTTCTGATCGGTCTCGTTGAACGCATACCAGATTCCGTGCAGATATCTCTCTATGCAGATGATATTTGTGCCTGGACATCAGGTGTAACACGTCCTCAGGTACGTGCGAGACTCCAGAAAGCAGCGAATTCAATATCGGCGTACCTTAGAGAACAAGGCCTCGAGATTTCTCCTGAGAAATCGGCGCTGGTCGCGTTCACGCGGAAGGCAATGACGTCATATCCCATCGCCATCAATGGACACAGTGTCTGCTACGCCAGGACCCACAGGTTTTTGGGGGTCACGATCGATCGAAATCTCTGCTGGAGTCCCCATGTGGCCACTCTAAAGAAGCGCCTAACGGCCATCGCACAACTTTTCAAGTTCCTCGGAGGCAAAACGTGGGGCACATCAGTGCACGCGATGTTGCATTTGTACAAAACGCTGTTTCTGGGGTACCTGCGGTATAGCTTGCCGGTTCTGACGAACGCTTGCAAAAGCAGTATACGCACAATAGAAAACGCCCAGTGCCAGGCACTCAGAGTTTGTCTTGGATTACCACGCTGTACATCAACAGCGGAAACCATCGCAATCGCCAAAGATCATCCGGCCACAGTGCACATTACTTTGGAGGTGCTTAGAGCTCATATTAGACACCTTGCTCGCGCCCCTGCCCACCACCTAGCTTCGCTTCCAGAAGATCGACCGAGTGCCTCCTTCTGTAAGAGAGTATTGACTTTCCGTGAGTGCCTTCCAACAGTCTACACACCTCCGGAACGGATACTAACACCTCCTTGGTGCTTGGACCGACCAAAACTGCGCTTGACAGTGCCGGGGATTCGCAAGAAGGCGGAGCTCTCGGCGCCAGCTTTAAAGCAGATGATTCTACTCATGCTACACGAAGAATACAAAGATCATGTCAAACTTTACACGGATGGCTCGACAACTGTTGGAGGATCTGCAGGAGCTGTGATCTTCCCAGCAAGAGCCGAAACCATCCAGTTCAGAACGTCACACAAGACGACATCGACAGCCGTGGAGCTCGCGGCACTCCGCAGCGCACTCCGCAGGATTGACCAAGAGACACCACAAAAATGGAGCACTTTTACTGATTCGAAACCAGCTCTCCAATGTCTACACAATACTCTACGTCGTGGACCTCAAGATCAATTGGCGCTCGAAATACGACAACTGTACCATCACCTAATAGACGAAGGACATGACATATCTTTTCAGTGGTTACCAGGCCATTGCGGCATCATCGGTAACGAGCATGCCGACAATGCAGCTAAGAATGCTCACGAAAATGGAGTGATGGAACCTATTCCACTATCAAGAAGCGACGCAGCAGCAAAGATTAATACGCTTGCGAAGGATGTCGCAAGGTCTATGCGGAATACGCCCGGTTTTCTCCACACCCGTCTTCACCGCCTGGACCCATGCCTACGACTTACTATTCCATCTGGCCTACCCCGATCCGAGACGACCCTTCTCTGCCGTATGTGGCTTGGGGTGTCTTTCACGAACGCTTTTGCCTGCCGCATCGGAATGAGAGACAGCGCTACATGCGACCATTGCGACAATGACGAAACAATTGAACATATTTTATGTCAGTGCCCCCAGTACAGCTCTCAGCGACAGTCCCTCTCAGCAGTGTTTGCTCGCCTCGACGACCAGCCATTTTCTGAGCAGTCAATCTTGGAATGTCGGAAAGATCGAGCTTCACGCCAGAAAGCAACGAAGGCGCTGATGAAGTTTCTGCGAGCGACCCGCCTCGTAGAACGATTGTGACACTACTGTGTGCGAGTGTGTGTATGTGTGTTTGTGCTTCTCTTCCTCCCTTTCCCCTTACCCTTTCCCCAGTGCAGGGTAGCAAACCGGATATGTTTTCTGGTTAACCTCCCTGCCTTTCCGCATTAAAATTTTCTCTCTCTCTCTCTCTCTCTGCTCAAAGGTTGGATCATCGCGGAGGCCCTGTAAAATCAAGGCAGGAGCGAAAACATTGCAAGCAATGCAAAGTCACGCTAGATGCTGAAGGCTTCCGCAGGGTGGTGGGGGAGGTTCAATACATAGAGCGAGCTGAAAAGGGGGGCTGCGCCTCCGCATAAAGTGCAAATATTAACTTGAAAAAAGAATCTTGAACACTATTAGCACATAATCATGAATAGCAATATCTCAGATGGGAGCGGGTCTCAGTTACCTGCGGTCCTGTTGGTGGCCAATAGCGACCCAAGTTGATGCCATTAATGAACGCGAAACCCTTAATCCATCCTCTCGGGTCCAGGAAGGTCTCAGCGGGTTGCTGTTCTTTTTTCAAAGTGAACGTGCCATGGAAGAAACCGGGAGTTGTTCCACTCCCCTTCTGCTGAACAATCCGGAGGATCTCGCTGATGTCTCTGTTCTTGTTGATGGGAACCACTTCTGTGGTCCAGTTGTCGAGTTTGATGCTGCTGAGATAAGCATAATTGAGGCCCTGCATGAGAAGTTTGGCTTATTGGGGTATGTCAAGCCAACACTTTCAATTTTCTGATGTTTAAAGTGCATTTCCGGCCTTGGCACTCTCTCGTCAGAGATGGCACCACCAACCGTCTCTATTCAAGACTACAGGCACATTCTTTCTCAAGGAAAATCAGTCTAACTGCGTAGCTGATTATAGTAATACATATTGTGCGGTATTTATGACCCATATTTAATTTAGTAAATGTATTTTCCTGACATTGAAGTCTAATCTGCAGAAAGGCGGGACTGCTGGTATGACTTCTGTGACACATACTTTACAGCACTTATCCCTGAAGAGTTATATCTTGGAGTAGCACAGTAGTAGAATTTAACAGAGGTAAGTTTCCACGTTCGAAGGTACTTTCGCTTTTGACATCGGAAAGAAGTTTTCTGTGTTGTAAAGCACCGTGCTCATTACTAGTAATAGACTCTTTAAGAGGGACATTTGTAAAAAACAGCTGAAATTAGTGGAAATCACAGGTATCCTATTAAGCCACCGCCTAGAAGTGTCCTATAGTCACGATACATTTCCACAATTACTGGCCCATGATGTGAAAATTAACGAAACAGTCGTGGTATAACGAAGTCTTCAAACAATTCCACAGGCCTTGCAACGTGACTTCGAACGTATGCAAACCATGATGACATATAAGTACTCGCGCAACTGGTAAAGCTAATAAATTTCATAGCATCGTACATTTCGGCTATGATATTTCTGGCTACTTTGCTTAGCTTGTTCAGTTATCTGAAATTACTTGGTTTATTTTCCCTGTTGGATGTAACTTCTAAAATAAGCACTTTTTTACAGTGGGAGCTGTTATCAGATGACAATGAGGATAGCGTGCGCCGTCGCCACCGGCGTCCCTAACAACTATCGTGTGAAATAAACTTACTAAATAAGAAAAAAAAAACCAAGTCCGCGATGAAATTTGAACCCGGGTCTCCTGGGTAGCAGCCCAGTGTTCTACCACTGGGCAATGGTGGTGCTTGAAACTTTCCTGAAAACTACCCCTAGGCGGGCTTGACGTCGGGAAATAAACCGCCTTAATAGGAGTGATAAAGCGTTTTAGGACAGCGAAGGAGCAAGCAACGCCAATTGCATAAAGCGGTGGTCGCCGAATAGTACAACCCATTATACTAAACCTTCGGGCATAATTCTTCATCGTTGTAAGCCACAGCACGAAATACACTGCGCAAAATTTCTTGTATGTCTGTAGCGTGTACCACAATTCTCCGAAAAATGACAAAGGATGACATACTGATGCTTGCCCAATACAGAAAAAAGTTATGATGATTTATGACAAAGTGAGTACCCTGCAAGTGCGCTTGCAGCAGTAACCGAATGTTTAAGAAAGTTCGGCAGATCCCACGTACATTGGGAATCGAAGTTATGAGAAGCATAAGGATGCAAAGTGAGTGTGTTTTAATTTTTTTATTGAACGAGGCGTTATCAAGCAGTGATCAATATATACACATACGTTAAACAGCCGCATATGTTTTATATTGGCAGCTGTTTGCAGTTGCGTAACGATGCCAACAGCAACATTAATACCAGCAACAGCAGACGTGGTATAAGCTGATATAAAGCGTTGGTGTTTGCGCTGGGGCTTGGAAGGATGGTAGCCTTCAACGCTGCTATGTTATTCAACGGCGGCGGATAGCACCTAACTACAATTAAAGTTACGCCGACATTACGTCTGTATCATAGGAGTATGTATTTAATGTTTATAAAATTTGATCAATCAGTACTGCAGCCTAATGGACGTTTCACAAACATTTATTATTCGCATTCGTCTGGTCAACGCAGTCTATGTCAGGTCTTTCTTAATGCTGGAGCGTTGAAATTACACAGAGAGGGAGAGAGAGAAAGAGAGAGTGAGAATTTATTTTCAGAAATGTAGAGAGGTCGGCCTGAGCTATAGTTTGCTCTGGCCTGCTACTCTACACTGGGGAAGGGTGACTGGGGAGTGAAAGAGTGATGAATGACGATGGTTCACGCGAGTGTATTCTCACCGTTCCTGTGTAGATATAAAATGCCCGTCACCTGTGGCACTTACCCGCATACCAGTGGCACATACCTGCCATCCGGTATGTGCCACTGTTTTCAGTAAAACGTTTGACAAGGTATGCGACGAGATTATGGCATTATTCATATCATGACCAGCGCGTCGTATTCTTCAAACCATTTTACCCCCCCCCCCCTCTTACTAATTTATGTGTGCCCCAAGTTAAGGAGGTGATCATGAAAGCACCTGGTCTTAGGCTGCCAGATAGATAGATAGATAGATAGATAGATAGATAGATAGATAGATAGATAGATAGATAGATAGATAGATAGATAGATAGATAGATAGATAGATAGATAGATAGATAGATAGATAGATAGATAGATAGATAGATAGATAGATAGATAGATAGATAGATAGATAGATAGATAGATAGATAGATAGATAGATAGATAGATAGATAGATAGATAGATAGATAGATAGATAGATAGATAGATAGATAGATAGATAGATAGATAGATAGATAGATAGATAGATAGATAGATAGATAGATAGATAGATAGATAGATAGATAGATAGATAGATAGATAGATAGATAGATAGATAGATAGTACGCACAGAAATGCTTCGTTTATACAGGATCTGAAAGGCTGCTCTACCAACTTTCGCTGTGACTTGAAAAAGTTATTTTCGCTGCAAGGGTGAAGACACGAATACTGTTCAGGCCTGGAAGGCAGCGTTCGACGTGCGGTGGCAGCACACCCCCAATCCTGCCAGATAACGACAGGACTTGCAGTGAAACCTCGTTTACTTTAGTATATGAGTTTTAATAACCGAATTACACGTTTTCTTGGTTTACAGATATTGGTTATACAGTTCGGTTACATCGTCCTAGCCGCAAAAGGCAGTGGCGTGTGACTTACTGGTGCACACAGCTCCGCTCAACTGGTGACCTTCTTGTCACACCATGGTGACGTAGCTGCCTAGTGTCCCGATCCGATAATCCGTGTTGGGCCAAATGACGGTGAAAGACGCAGTTTCGTATTCGAACTCAAGGTAACGAACGACCGGCAGAATTATGATACTAAGTAATTCGACGGTCCCGTGAAAAACAACAGGCGGTTTGAAACTTCCAGCGCTAAAGCCCAAGAATGGGCGATCGAAAAGAACGCACAGTTATACAAAGGACAAGCGCGAACTTTCAAATGTCACAGAAGTCACATATTCGTGTTTCAGCAGCGCACTGCAAGCGTGTACTATGCACAACCCAATGCACATACATATTTCTCTTTCTTTTAAACTTTCCCCCTCGGTGGAACAGTGACTATAGGGTGCTCGGCTGCTGATCCGAAGGTTGCGGCTTTGCAAAATTTTGCCGGTAACTGCTGCCGCAATAAATAACAAGATCGATTACTAGTCATGCACGGCCATTAACTCTGGTCTTGAAAGAACTTCTCGTAGCGCGAGGTGAAATACGGAAACAGGAAGGCACAGATGGACATATTCCGGTTTCAGTATTTCACCTCGCCCTACTAAAATTTTTCAAACGCATCACCAACAAGTCGGCATTGCAAATCTCGTCCCCGTGAACGTGTGGGCCTGGAACCCAGCATGCCTAGCTGTCAAGTCAGGAGCAGCATGACTTTCACGTCAGTTACGTAACGTACGTGGCCATGCGAACTTGCATGGTGGGAGGGGAAAGGATGCCCCCACACAGTTTCTGAATCGGACATGCGCCGACATTGTATAAAGACCTGGGCTGTAGCTACGCTGGATTTGACGATCATGGCGGCCAAAAAACTCGTCATTTTGCATTCCAACAACTGTTTGCCGTCTTTCTTGCCCGAAAGCCATTGGGCGAAAAAAGCTCATTGTGATAAGAACTTCATCACTCAATTTTTTTTTCTCATTCAGTCTGAGGCATGTGGTCCTTTTGGACTCGAGCGACGAGGGAAAGAAGCGCAGCGAAAAAAAACAACATTCCGAACTCACTTCACATCAGAAACAATGCACACACGCCTATGCGTCATGCGCAGGCGATACGCATCCTTCAATTGTACGCACCTTGAGGTCGGTGTTCATACCCAATCCGTAGTCCTCCCTTCCCATGTTCTCCACGAGGACGGTGAGTTTGTCCGCTTTCTTAACGGGAATCGTGTCCCAATACTTGTAGGTCCCATAACTGACGTAGTGGTTGTAGAAGGTGAAGAGCTTGCCTCCGGCTCGCACGTATGCGCGGTCCCGTAAATAAGGAAACCAGAGTGAGCCCGTGCCATAAGTGAACAGATTTACTGTAGTGGTGCACATCAGAAACCCGGAGCTGTGATTCATCTTTTCGAATGACACCGGGTCGACCGCCTGCTTTTGCACGAGCCACCCTTTCTTTCGGAAGTGATTCATCATGTCCTCCAATGATATGTAGTCGTTCAGCTGAACGTTGCCGATATTCAGCTTGGACGAGTTTCCGGGCATGTCTCCTTCGGGCACGTGACCCAGGTAACTGGTCGTCAGGTTACGTATGTCGTAGTAGATGGACCTGATGTCGCCATCTTCGCCAACAGGCGCCCCGTAGTCGTAACTGGTCGTGATGGGGTAACCGATGCTCTTGCCTGCTTTGAAGCCGAAGTTTGTACCACCGATGAACATGTAGAAGGCTACCGAGGCGTTGCGAGTCATCATGAGCTTGTACGTGTTCAGGATGACGTCCTTTGTCTTGTAGTTGTGCGAATAGCCCCAGAAATCCATCCAACCGGTGTAATACTCGAGCACCACCATGGGCGCCGGCTTGGGATTTGCCGTTTTCATGACTGAGAAGGAAGAGTCTACTATGTAGTGCGGCGGTAGGTTTCCGGCGACCACAATGTCGCGCACCTTGTCGCAGGCGTAATACGAGGCTTCCGGAAAGTCCGTGCGGAAGTACACCAAGTCCTTGCCCAAGTGAGACTCCATGACGTTCAACAAGTGCTCCATGTGCGAGTGGTCGCACTTGCCCAAGTGGCCGTACTCGTTCTCGACTTGCACTGCAAAGATGGGGCCCCCGTTTCGATACAGATGTGGTTTCAGCATGGGAAGGAGCTTGCCGAACCACCGGTCTACTGCCGCCGTGTAGCTCATTTCACTGGACCTGTACACCATGTTCGGGTTGTCTCGTAGTAGCCAGTAGGGTAATCCGCCGTTGTCTCTCTCGCCGCAGATGTATGGTCCCGGACGGACCAAGGCCAGGAGACCCTGTTGCTTGATCTCTTCAATGAAGGCGTCGAGATCGTACATGTCTTCGAAGTTGTACACCTGGGGTTCCGCCTCGTGCCCGCTCCACTCGATATAGAAGGAGACCGCGTTAAGGCCGGCCATCTTGACTTTGTACAGTCGGTCTTTCCAGTACGCTCTCGGGACTCTGAAGTAGTGCATCTCACCCGCCACGAAGCGAAACGGCTGACCGTCTTTCACAAACATCGCCCGCGTGTGGTCGACGACGATTGAACGCTGCTGGGCACGCACCTGCATGAATAGGATGCCGGCGCACAAGGCTACGCTAACTTGTCCCGTCATACCGTTTTTTCAATGATAAGAGGCTATATATGTGCACACGTCAATGCCTCTACCAAACTTTCGGTCATGAAAAGTAAGCTGGCCCAGGTGTTGTTCGCCATTGCACTGGCGTGATATCATGACCATATATCCCAAAAGAGTAGCCTCTCTTCAACCTCCTTACACCAGGCATCTGCTGGATCATGGGAATTCAGATTAGACAAAGTCTACCGATGGTGTTGATGCGTTGTCGAACATTATTATGACTTTTCTACATATAAGAATGGCTCGAAACGTGAATGGACGGGAACATCGACATCATTGCGTTTCTTTTGATTGCGCTGTCTTCAAGGAAACGTTCCACCGTTCGGGCTGAGTGGGAAAATACAGCTGTGATAAGTTCAGCCAGCATGTGCTCGTATTTTACTTTACATCGCTTTACTTGTTCACGTTTCGCGGATTATATAAAGGACAGCTTAGAAGCTACGTCACCCTCCGCATCTGATGCGTTCGTCTAGTAACGAGGACATCTTTTATTACCACCTGCCTTGATCACGTGTATTGTGCGTGCGGATCGCGCTCCCGTGCACGCTCAAGTCAACGGCACCACAGATTTTTTTATTGGCATATTCTTGCGTGACGAGATATATTTATAGCGGAAACCATCTAGCAGGAACGCAAGAATCACAATGGAAGTGATTGCACGTTTATTACGTGACACTTTTTATGGCTTATAAAAGCATTGCATGAGATGACGCAAGATATAACTTTTTTTCGGGCGCCATAGTTTTTCTGTTCATGGTGTAATATGCGTTAAGCATCTTGCTTTGGCAAGTTTCAGCTTTATGGCAGCTCTGAGTTCTTGAATATTTGAGTTGTCCCATGCTATACTTTAAATTTTTTCAGAAGCACTCTTTCACGTAAAATTTTATGAACGATTACATGTTCAGTCTAATCACGAACGCTTTTGTTAATGGCGCCCTGCATCACTTATCCCACGTAATCACCAAATGCCCTCAGTACCTAAGTATCGGAGCTTATTGCCCTAACAGCTTCAAAGATGTCTCTTCTCGGGTCCGTCAAGAAGGACCGGGGTAGCGAGATTTCGTCGCTTGCTTCAAACGTTTTTTATCTCCCCTCGTCCCGCCTAACACGCTGGAAACTGCCTAAGGAGCATTGAAACGGTTGTGTGCGCGTCCCATGACTTTCTTAATGCGGAATGGGACAAGGCCGCTATTCCACGCCATCGTTCCTGCAGCGTGTTCGTTAGTGTAGCTACTCTAATGTTAGCTGGCTGCCACGAGGTGCCACCACGTGCCCCGGTACCCTTCAAATATGGAGGGCGCTGCAGGCACGTGGTGGCACCTTGTGGCAAGAAGCGTAAATGATCTGAACGGCACCTTTGGACTGCAAGCTATTGACCAATAGGATGATATCTGCTGTGTGACGTCAAAGAGCAGGCACTGCCAGCTCCGAAGAGGGCACCTAAGAAAATGATGGATGAGCGCTTCGCATCGCACCTCATTGCTTAGCAACGATTTGACCGAGATATTCAAAGCAGTGTCTGCTTTCTGATATATGAGTTTTTTCTCACTTTAGAAGGGTGGTTGATGACCCTTTTAAATCTTGCCGTGAGGTTTACGAATTACAGTGCCAAAGAGCCTGACGATATGCTATGGGAGCAGCATCTGTATACAGTTCATCGTGGTCATATGTGGATACTTATCTCCAGCGTTGTATAATAGGTAGATAAATAAAGAATACTTTATTCACGTATTCATATGAAGATCATACATATCTCAGTCACATGTGCTCTTTCTCTACGACGGAAAATTGTTTTCGAACGATTAAAGGCAGCTAATTGTCGCTCGTCAGTTTCAGAATACATTTAGCGCCGACGTTGCTTGTATTGCAGTGTCACGGATAATTGGGCTAGTCGATACTGATTCATTTTGAGACTGGATAAGGCGCGCACAGTACACGGATACTAGAAGGAAATACGCGCACAACGCGGGTGCGTACTCGTAACTACAGTTTCTCGGAAAGAAAAGCGCGTGTCTCAAGATCAGACTTACTGAATGCTGATGATATAAGAAAATTCATCTCCTCATAATGTCATGAAGCGTGCACTCACGCATTTCCCCTCGCATCTTCTAATATGAACCGCCCCTATCAGTTCTCTGGTGGTCTGATATGGGTATTTCCGTAAAATAACAGCGTTGTGGGAGTGCAACCACACGAGCTCTGATGTTAGGGCATGTGCGCACTGTCTTCTGGATGCGAAGCGTCTAATGGTCGACCTATATCCGGTGTGCGGCGTGACCACCCATGCTGCGCATGCGTGACTTCTCCGCCTCTCTCTATCCTCTTCTACCCCCCCCCCCCCCTTTTTCTTCGCCATGCAGCGCCGACGCAGGCAGCGTTTTCTAGTTTTTGCTCACCATTAATAGATCTGTTGTGCTTTCCTTTTCCTATTCGTCAGAAATGAGGGTCATCAGGCGTAGTAACGGGGTTTCGAGTTGTGTCGTTTGTCGTTAGTACGATTTCAATAATGCAATGACTGGAGATAATGAGCACTGATATCGAGTACGGAAGAACTTCCGCTAGCCATCCGATCATCGAAACCATTTCATCATACTGAGGGGAACAGCGCGAAAAACGGGATCAAGAAAGAATGAACACATGACACAAGCGGTGAAGAACAACTGTGTGTAAATTTATAACACCTGAAAATATATAACTGTGTGACTGTAGACTAAATAAAACCATTACGTGCGCATAAGGATGAAAAGCAAAATTAACCACCCACGAGTCAAAATGTCCAAGTCGACCACTCAAAAACAGGATCTATTTTTCCAAGAGGGTGAGTGAAGGCTCACTGATGCGCATTCTTCCTTTTGTCTTGATATGAAAAGCCTCGTTGATTTCGTGCTTTGTCTTGTTACGATATCTTGAGAGTATCTTGCAATCATGAAAGTGTGGCGCGCACTGGCACGAGGAGCGATGAGCTGCCAACGTGCTGCTTGTTGCTGTACTGACATTATTTGCGTGCTCTCTCAGGCGGTGGTTCAAGCAGCGACTGGTGTGTCCAGTATAGGACAGACCACAGGACAACGGAATGGGGTGCACTACGTTGCTCACAGACTCAACGTACGGCCTATTCTTCGGGCCAGTCCCGGGTCGAAAATTATGGCCCGTGCAGTGCTCTGGGACACGCTACATAGCTTCGTTCTCAATCTTCATGGGATCTCTGTTTACGCAACCAATGAAAATACATTCTCTCTGTGACAGCGTCGTGGAGATATGGTTAGACTTCTTTATGATATGTTTCAATAAGTTGAGCGACGTTATTTGACAAGTCAGCGTTACTGGTTCGTCCTCAATCGATTTCGCGAGTATTTCTGAGAAATGAGTATGTAATGAAAAAAATAAAAAAAGCGAGTCTAACACGTCGTTGTAATGTTCCTAGAATTCGCGGCATATTCGGTGCAATTACGGGGTGGTGGTTGAAGGGGAAGGGTGTCAAAAGCTTTTAGCCCACACTGCCACAGGAATACATGGGATAGTCGCTTGGGAACGTTTCACCAACTCTGTACATAGTAACATTTAGCTCAACTAAATGACACAGCGAATGTTACATGCAGGACACACCACAGCTCGCCGTTGAATATAATGTCACTTCAGAGTAGCGCTGCGCCACGTCCTATTTCTTGTGTCACTTTGATGCGCTGAAGGTTACTGCATGCATACGAGTCGTCTTGCGTATGTTAAGTTATGGCTGGTTAAATAAGGGCGTGATGTCTTACCTTTTAAATCAGATCGTAGTTAACCTAATAGAAGTCTTGAGAGCAGCCTTCGCGTGAGCCGTGGTCAGTCGTAGCGTGTGTGCTTGTTTGTTCGTCGACAGACCCGCTAAACAACGTTGAACAACTTAAGGCAAAAGCCATGAATGTCTCTTCGATTCCGAAAGGTGGCCGTCGGCTGCGTCGATGTCGACTATATAGCGATGTGAAAAATCGTCATAACTAGACTTCACATGACCGAAATTCTTACGTCATTAGGACAACATGATGATACTGTCACGTTACAAGGCAACTGTAAGCTGCAGATAATGGCACACAAGGACGTAAAACAGATTCGAACAACGGCAGTATGACTATTGTTTTTCTCTGCACGCGCATCTTTGTCCTCTTCTGAACAGTGGCACATACAAGCATGCCAGCACCTGTGTAAATAATATTTGTACAACTTTTACTAGTGGCATTACCCCCCTTCACAAAGGACATTGTCCCGATGTCATAACATAATTGCCAGATGAAAAGACGTACGATAAGCAGTACACAAGGGGGTGTTCACAATCACTGTAAGTCTACTCAAGGGTGTGTGACGAATAGTCAGCGTTGGTAAAATGGTTTCATTCTCGAAACATGGACGACGTGTCGCTGATGTGAACGGCAGGATTGACGAGCCATGTCCTCGTCAAGAACCTCGTAGTTCACTTCGCTGAGACGACGGACAATTCTATAGGGACCAAAATAGCGGCGTAACAACTTTTCCGACCGGCCCCGTTGTCGAGTAGGAGTCCACAACCATACTCGTTCTCCGGGTTTGTAAGAGACATCGCGACGACGAGCGTGTTACCGCAGCGAGTCGATGCATTGTTGCTTATGGATTCGTTCGACTGCAAGGTTACGAGCCGCGTCTGCCAGTCTGATAAATTCATTCGTCCTGACACTAATCTGGTGTCTGTCTGGTAGAAGCATGACACCCAGCATTGTAGTGGCCTCCCTGCCGTGAAGCAACCGGAATGGTGTGAATCCAGTTGTTTCTTGCACAGCGGTGCTGTAAGCGAACGTGACGTATGGGAGGATGTCATCCCAGTTTTTGTGGTCTTGGTCAACGTACATGGATAGCATGTCGGCGATCGTTTTGTTTAGTCGCTCTGTAAGGCCGTTGCTTTGTGGGTGGTATGCAGTAGTTTTTCAATTTACTGTGCCGCTAAGCTGCATGACGTCTTGTAT